TCATCTGTCTCCTACGCTCTGCAGCATCCATGCCAGATTTTAAGTCAGGTGCAACAGCTCGATAAGCACTAGCATTGTTCATAGGATCTTCTGCCTGGTAATCTTGATTGGTACCGTCCCTACGCTCTCTCGCACGATCTCTGTATTTCTCAGCGAGCTCAGCCATCTTATCCTCCTCCTGCTTCTTTAATTTTGCATAGAAGCTTTTCTTCTTCCTTCGCAACTCGGCTCGACTGCCTCCGCTGACTTGAGGCGTTTGAGCAGTTTTTGCACTGGCATCCCTTACTGTACCTGGTACGGAAGCTGGTGTGGCTGAGGGTACTGACGCCCTTGGAGTCATCAGGAGCTTTCGGAAATCATCGTTCGTCAAGCGAACAGACATACTCACTTCTTCCTCCGTTTCAGGCATTTTGGCTGACTGTTTTTCCTGGTGTCAGAAGCAAAGTTAGAATCATTAAAATTATAGGAAAAAATATCATGATTTAAAATAATCAAACTTTTCCAAAAGAGTGAAACATTTACCTTTAGTGTTATTGAAAATTGTAAAATGCAAAATAACAATCTTTGTACAATATCCAAAACGTCAAGCAACTTTGTATTTTTATATTTACGTATATCTACGTCAAGGATCGGTTATAGATCGACGATTTATAGGTTAGTTTATTTAAAGCCATCTTATGACGGAAACTCGAAGCTCCGAATGCAGGGATACCAACGTAGAATTTTTGCAGTAAGCAAATGTTCCTAGTAACATGTGAAGTTTTCCAACCTATGACATTTAGGGAATTTCGGAAAACAAGATTCCGCCAATCGCGAAACCCGACGATTCCAAGAAGACGAGAGGTATCGTACCAACCGTTGGTTGCTGTCGACGTCGCCTTTTTCCGAGTCGCACTGTGCATGACTGTGCATGAGGACGATCTTGAAGTTGTAAATTTTATCGTGGAGAGCCATGACGTCGGAAAACATCATGTATGCAGCGGAGAAATGAGGCAAATCGCGTCGTGACGTCTCGAGGGACATCGTCGCTCGACTTGAACAATACTGGAGGTTAACTGCCGCCGGAGACACTCGTGTATCCAAATGGTTACGATCTCACGTTGTAACCTGCGTTGAGTTCGATGTAACTACGCGTTCACGACAACCGGATTTTTTCAAACATCTCATTCCCTCGATTTGTCGGACAGAAAACGTTGCAATGGCAGACCTCGCCTTAGGGGAGCTCAGCGGCGATCAAACCGAAAAAGTACTGCAGTTTCAGGTACAATCTCATTTCTTATTAAAATCACGCGCATTATTCCTTTGCGATATCGTGAATGATGTCACGTAATGATCCGCAGGACCTCACCGGCATCGAAGATCTCTCGGTATGCAGAGACGTTTTGCAGAGGCACAATTGGAATTTGGAAGTGGCGGTTCAAGTACATTATATTTTTCTTTTATATTCCTAATTTATTCTTGCTGGACTGCGTTCCAAAATTTTACTCTGACAATTAGTAAAAGAATTAACTCTTGGATATTCATACATAAGTAATAGAATTCACTCTTGGGTATTCTTTTTCTTTTTTTTCCCTTCAACAATGTATATAGTTCTGTGATTTATTTGTGATATCTGAAGACATTACTTAAGATGATCTTGAAATAATCGATTATAAAAATCAACCTTTGCATTACTCTCCTCATAGTAAAGTCTTGGAGCATAGCCTAATATTTTAAGATTTCTAAAAATATTGAATGTTATCCAAAATGATTAACTGAACAAAATTACATCTTTTTGTGACAAGCAGCGTACTTATTTACCATTAATAACTTTCTACATTGCTAATAAATATCTTATGTGAACCACACATACGTGATGCAAAGTATGATGAAACTCTAATTTGTATGATTTAAAATGTTTCTTTATGTTATAGGAGCAATTAAATTTGTATGAAGGCAGGCCATCTATGTATGCACAGGATTCACGTGCCCGCCCACCCCAAGTCGTAGATGACAGTAGTTCAAGAATTTATTTTAGTTATCCTGGAAGCTCTGGTGGAGGTGGTGGTCTCTTATCCTATATTTTTTCCATGTGTTATAATCTAGTGAGCAGTATCCTGCAGTTACTTTTTGCAATATTTAAAAGAAACGTTAGACCTGGTAAGTAGTGTACAATAACACATCATCTCTCTCATATCATGAGTTAATTTACATCATAAATTAATTTCTTTTCTTAAGAATCAAGAAAAACATTTATATAAGAAATTTGTAGAAGCAAATTTTTCTACTTACATTATATAGCATGTATATACAAGATTTAATTAAAATCTTTTAAGATAATTTAACTGACTGCAAATTGATTTAAATTAATTTTGCTAATTGTTATCCTTGTAATCGCATACACATAGATTTATGATTCATGCGCTAATTGAAGCAAATAAATAATATCTTTCAAGTGTCCTCCGATCCAGTGGAAGATGTAGTCAACTTTATTAGGTCTTACGAGGAGCGTTATGGTAATATTCACCCAGTATTTTACCAGGGCTCCTACAGTCAAGCTCTTTCGGATGCGAAACAAGAATTAAGATTTCTCTTGGTATATCTGCATAAAGATGAAACACAAGAAGTCGACCAATGGTGCAGGTAATCTTAAGATTTTAATAGATAGTGTACAAAATACACAATAAAGATGGATTAATACTGTGCACAACATCTGACGATATCATATCCAATAAAAGAATTTGGTTCTAGTTATAACTTCATTTGGTCTCCAAGAAATAAATTCTATTGGCTATTGAATGTCGAATATCATATGATGCTATTGAATGTTGTATGTCGAATATCATATGATGATATAAAGCCTACACAAGAAATACATTTTTTTTTTTTTTTTCAGAAACACCTTGTCCGATCCTGAAGTAATAAGATATATAAACATACATACTTTGTTTTGGGCATGTAACGTAAAATCTGGAGAGGGCTATAAAGTTGTGGAAGCGCTTAAATCAGGTTCATATCCTTTCCTAGCGCTTATTGTATTAAAGGACAATAGAATGACAATAGTCGGTCGGTACGTAAGACTAATCTATCTGCATACTTTGAAACAAACATTTGTATAACTCTTCAATATTTAAAATTTAATTGATAAATTTATTTTTTTTTCTTACAGATTGGAAGGCGCGCCATCTTCTTCTGATTTAATGTCGCGATTGCAAACTATCATAGAACGTAATGAAATCAATCTTATCCAAGCACGTCGGGAAAGGTAATTAAAATTTTTCATAAAATTTGTAAATATCTTAATCTTTGCAAGAGAAAAAAAATAGATAACATTAATTAAAAGTTATCTTTTGAACATCTATTGATGTATGTGTTTTATTTTAGGGCAGAACGTAGTGCAGCACAATCGCTTCGACAACAACAGGATCGCGCTTACGAGGAGTCGTTACGCGCGGATCAGGAGAAGGATCGCAGAAGAGAGGAGGAACGAAAAGCACGCGAGGAGCAAGAGGCCCGAGAAAAGGAAGAATTGGACGCTCAGGAATTGGAAATTCAACGTATACGTCTCGAGAAAGAACGGACTATTGGCAAAGTGCCCCTCGAACCGGAACCATCTAATCCCCATGCGTGTCATCTTCAAATTAAACTTGGAGAGAGAACAATGAAAAGAAGATTTCTTATGACTGATACAGTCAAGGTAATTAGTATGAACAATTTATAAATATAAACAATAATAAATGAAAATCAACCAAAAAATGTTCAACACAAATAAGTGAAGGTCTTATTCGGTCAAAGCAGTCTTGCTTGGTATCCAACAATATTTTTGTGTAAATTTTACAATTTCCAGTTCAAGTAAATTTAAGTATTCCAACTTCAGTTTGGGCTTGTGTTTCAAGATCGAAATAATACAAATAATCAGCTTGCAGTTACTTAATGTGAAAATTGTAAAGTTCATAAAATATTAGATCCCTTTGATCATATGATCTTTTTCGTTTATTTGTGCGTCCATGCGTGCGTCTGTGTGTGTGTGTGTGTTAATCATAAATATAAATTTAAATTTAAAATATTCTTAATTAGAATTATTATAAAAAATTTTCAAAAATTTTTCAACGCACTTATACACATTCAATTATGTGCCATTTATTATTAATCATATCAACAAAAACAATGATGTATAATGAAAATAAGATTTTTTTTTTCAGGATGTTTATCATTGGATATTCAGCCAACCAGATTCTCCAGCGAGTTTCGAGATAACAACAAGCTATCCGAGAAGAATTCTCTATCCTTGCAGAGACATTTCGACTCTATCGGATGCCGGTTTAACCCACAGAGAGGTTCTTCACGTTAACGATCTAGACGACTAATTGCGACTTATTTCGATATGACATTCTTCAAGTTCTAGTATCATTCCACAAGAAAAATGATACTGTCATGAAAGACACTTGTCAAGGGATACAAGCTCATGCAGCATATACACATAAGATGCAAACACACACACACACACACACATACACACACAAAACACACACGCACATATATATATATATATATATATATTTGATACATTCTAGTACTTTATGTGAGATATACTTTACTGGATGAAAAATATAATTACACAAAATATACTAAAAGATAGGAATCAAAAGAAGGGGGAAAAATGTGTCTATACATGCAGCTTATTTAAATTAACAATCGGTATTTTGACCACCGCATTTATTAAAAAATGCATTTCGTATATTAAAAAAAAAGAAAATATATAGATAGGAATATATTAAAATTTTTTTGTGTAACAAAAAACGATCTCGTAAAAAAATGTACAACAAATTTCTTTTATATCTTCTGACACTAATACTAAACGGTGTCATATATATACATAAAAAGTGATACGTACATTTTACGGATGAATTTCAACGCTTGGATACATCTGAACACACTCCTATAAATTTATCTATTTATTTCCCTGTGACATATATCGAATTTGTCTAATATAATTAAATATATGTAAGGGGGGAACAAAGTTTTTTTTAATACATGTTTATTGTGCAATCGGTTCATTATTGATAGCAGGTGTATTCGTTTGATACTTTCGTGATCCAAAATAAGAATTGATATCAAGAGAATAATTAATAAATTCCATGAATAAATTCCACATATAGATTTTGATAAAAAAATCTTTGACTATTTTAATCAGTTATAAGTATTATATAATATTTTAATTTAACGAAAAAAATGTGTAGCTCGCCTAACTGTATGTTTGATATACCTGATAAAAAAAGTATTGAATTTTTTATCGATTATTCATCGGTTTAGTCATGTTTACTTACAGAACAATGACAAATTGTTTCACAATTTTACGCAACTGTTTCCTGTTTTACATCTGATAAATTCTGTTTTTTTTTATGTTGCTGTGAGATTTATTATAAAGAATATAATATATTTCAGTTCTGAGCAATGTTTCCAGTTGCTAGATTTTTTTTTTATTTTTAAATGTACATTTAACTGAATTATGTACAAACTCATTATTTCGTCATGTTGTGCAATTATCCTGACGTATTTACAGTAAGTGGGCATAAATATAACAATTGCAGATTATGAACACAGGTATTCTGTACATGGTTAGCGATTATGAGTCATTGATAAATGTTGCCTATTGCTAAAGTAGAATTGATATTAATTACATGATTATACGAAATAATTTTTAAATGATAATTTAAATTGATTTATTAATATGATTTTGAAACAAGATACCAAGGGAGTATATATCGCGCATTAACAAAGTACAGAATACTGCTTTAGGAAGAAAACTGTCAGGTATTGAGTTCTATTTCGAATGAGTTTTCGATTTTGGCGAGACTTTTGCCCTCTCCTTGGAATATTGCGCCCGACTGTGAGTGAGCAAGGAGTTGTATACTTTGTTATTCAGTTTAACATCAAAACCACCCGTGTCTCCTGTATGAATTCCTGGTGGGAACTGTAATAATCGGCAAGCATTAATCCTGGAAGACATTAAGATATCATGTTTCGTAACAATCCTAGAATCTTTTCCCGTCTTCTTGTAACCGCAGCGTGGTATCGAAGCATACTCTTTTTCTATGCTCTGAAACAACAATGTATTATCATATTTTATATGTTAATACATTGTTAATGTAAATAAATTCTTAATCTATGCAGCATCTAATTTGCATATATATATTTTACGAATTATATTTATAACATTGCACAGCAAACTTACGACAAACCGATCAAAATCCCTATTACTGTCGTCTACATTCAAATCTGTATTATCTTCATCCTTGACATTGTACAAAGAACTGTAATTGCTAAATGAGATGCTCACTGAAATAAGATAGAATAACTTAAAATAATAACATAGACAAAGAAATTGACATATTTCTTGTCACCTTTTGAGTCACGATTGAACTTCTTTTCTGTGCGCTTCAACATCGTGTCGTACTCGCGACTAAATTGAGTTTGTAACAAATGTGCTATGACTTCATCGTTGCCAGTATCACTTGCATCATACGTTTCTCCCATCGTCTTATCCATTACATTCACGTTATCCTTGTCAAAACATTTCTTCAGTTCCCTTGCAATACAAAAATTACTTCAGGCAACATAAAAATTACAAACATTCCAGTTCTATGCTTTGACACCAACTTGGAACGTTAAACGTTTTATTTTTATGATATAAAATGAGTCATGTCTTGCGTAAATGTTTCATAGGAAAATTACTAAGTTTTTACAATATATATTATAATATTTAAGTTTAGCATAAATTGTTAATGAAAAGTTGAAAATTTTGTAAAGCCTATTTATACGAAGCATCTTCGATAAAGATAGACTCGCAAGCAATATTTACCTTTCCTGCATGCTCGCAGCCAATTGTTCCATCGTGATATCCAGTAAATTAACAGGACTTTCCAGAGGTTGTATTTTCGCCCATACTTTTGGAGTTGCCATTACTGTAATCGACCGGAATGAGGTGAAATTGTACGAATACGACACCACGATGTCGCACAAACAGAAGAGAAGATAAATATGAGATGGAAGGAAATAAATTTAAGATAAATACGAGTTTCAAGATATCCCCCCTTATTTAAAACACTTCTTCTCGTTACACGAGAATGTTGTCTAGAACGTCCCTGCCTCAGCCCCCCGACACCCCGAGACTGCCCGAGATCACGATGTAAATAGATCAAGTAGATGAAGTAGACACTGCTTATATCACGCCCGGAGACATATCGAGTGGATAAAACAGTGTTGCGTTTCTCTTCTTTCAAAAGTTTTGATAATTACCATTTGATGGAAATTTGAAAAAGAGAATATAATTACCAAGAATTGAAAAGGCATTGATATTACCGCTAATCGATAAATATATTAGGTGTTGGAATTAATTCGTAGCGTTTTTAATGAAAGAATGTTATTTATTTCACATGAGCATTAAAAAATACATTAATGAAAGTACTTCCCATCACTTGTAAAACGCTACGAATTAATTCCAACACCTAATATAATCTTTCAATTTTTAATATACATATAATATATTATATGTGTATATGTGTGTATATATATATATATATAAATAATGATTTATTATATTGTAAATTCTTTACAAGTATATATTCACACGTGATACAATAATACACGTGTAAATAATGCATTTTTTTGCAATTTTATTTACATGCAATCATCGCCTGCACAGATAACTGTAATATGTAAATGATAACAATCGAACAGTGCATATAGTGGCACAATAAGTCGACACAAACGTTGTTCTATTTTTCTTTGCATTTCATAAGTAACAGAAACAGAACGATGCTTGTGTTGCTTTGTATCACCAAATGGAGAGCATCCAAAGTAAGATTAATAAATAAAAATATCATATCAAAATCAATTAGACTTAACCATGATTAATTATTTTTGATATATCAATATATAATTTTACTAATATTTATTTATTGAAAATTTTATTAAGTTTTGTTAATAGACAAAAAATATGTATAAATAAATAGATATCAAATCATTACTAAAATTACATACATGTTGTAAAGTGTATATATTATTACAGAGACGATAACTGATTAGTTTAATAATTGAATATATTTTTATTTATTAACATCATTTTAATTGTTATCATTTACATTTAATTATTCGTGCGAATGTGCGCATTAGCAGAACATGATCGCCAAGAATGTATCAAAAAATTGCAAGAATTCTCTATACTTTCAAAAAATTTCTCAAAAGTCTTGAAAATCGACAACATTCTTAAGAGCATAATCGATAAAAAGGTTGCAGTATTTTTCACTCTAAAAATTAATAGTTCTAAAAATTTGTATGACAGAAATTATATTGTATTTAAAAAATAAAAAATGCTCTGCGCATACATCTTCATATTAATTTTGTATTCATTTAGATGTATCTTCATTTTTTAAATTGCTGCATTTATCAAATAATATTATTATACTAGAAGCTTGAGGATAAATATATATATCCAATTCTAATTATTATTAATTTATTTCAGTAGATCTAGTACATACACAAACGATTCTTTTTTTTTCTTTTTAATAATATTCCATTCACTCCCATCGGCTTTTCTTCAAATTGTCTTTCAAATTCCATAGCTAAACTCTAAACCGATCTTGGAAACTTATGCCAAAAGCAGTAATTTGGCGAGTTCGTTAACGAAAATTTAAAGTAATTCTGGTTTTCGAAATTGGGTAGAAAAGACTGAACAATATGCATACGTTTAGTTAAGATCGTCGGTATCTTGTTGCGATTACGTTGCGTCACTCTACGGTAATGCATGGGGCATGTGTATTAATTGTGAATGTCTCACAATTAATAAATCTAGTATACGTGATTATAATTACCGGATGTTTTCTTTTTATAAGATAAATCATTATATATACAGAGATACATTACCGATGGTCCGATACCATACGTTCACACATAGAATAAAGCAGCCTATATTAGTTTTCGAATGTCGAAATGCATATTTTGTCCCTTATCTTAATATAATCTTAATGCAATCTTAATATGTATAAAGAAAGTTTGCTCTCTTACTAGGACACTAAAAATGGTTCATTCTTTCTTAAGTGATAAAAAATGCCATCAAAAAGAGATCATCTATCTGGATGATCCTCTGGATGATTTTTCTTGTCAAAAAAATAAGGGAGATATTCCATTTCTTAACAATTAAATTAAAAAATAAAGTTATAAAAAGAAAATCCGTTGCGGATATCGAAATTCTACAACCCATGCATTACGATAAGTGTATCATGCAGCAAAAGTTTCTTAGCTACGTTGTCCAAATGTCAGTCTTGACGCATAAAGTGATTGCCGTTATTCACCATAGTGAACATACAATTAGAAATAAACCGCAGGCCTTAAAGTATCGTGGATGTTCTAAAAGTTTATCGCTCGCGCGTAACCTATTGTCGCAAATTTCGTGAATAAATTACAAGTGATAAATTGTGTTTGAATTAGAGCACTTAAAAGTGACGACGTGGAGAAGTTTGACATTATAAACTAAAAGGTCTTAAATAGATTTAAGTAAATAATGTACTCGTTTTATGTTTTTACGTGCAATACACATTAAGAGCTAAAAGGATGTAAATCAAATCCTTAAAAAAACTTAAGAAAATAATCTATATCGATATTTCCTATGAAGAACGCATGTATAAATACAGAGAATGTGAAATCTTGAATCTAGATGCCGAATGTACACGTAATAAATACAGAAGTAATGCAACTCGATTTGTAAAATATTACGTTTTCACCTGGAAATCTCTTCATATCCTTTTTCTAGAAAAATTCAGCTAAAAACTGTAATTTACGAAAAATAATGTTACAGCGCAAATGATTCTCGCGAGACAGTTCAATTTGCGCTATTTTGAGTTCATGTTTGAGCCACTGTGATCCAACACTTAACATTCAGGCTGTAAGATACAATTATCTTGTTACAAAAATTGTATTGTATCAAAGAAATTATAATAGAGTAATTAACGATATTATTACAAAGAGAGTATAACTTCCACACTTTCTTTATCATTATTTTATCACGAACCTGTAAAGCCTTGCGGTGGTTGCCCCGGAACTGAGTATTGTGGTCTAAAATTCCCGAAATTAACAGCACCTGCGAAAGTGGCTGGCAACTGTCCTCCGGAGAAACCAGCCGGGAATTGTTGAGCCAGTAATGCAGCCTGTCCTGTTTGAGAACTAGTGGCACCGGGTGCCGTGGCCGCCAAACGACTTAATATTGACCTCTCAGACATTTGAAGTCTCTGAGCGACTGGTGGGATACGAGCCAGAGTTGCTGGTAAACGACTTACGTCTGATTTCATATCAGACAACAATTCTTCCAATTGGTTCAATACCTGTAAAATAAAAATCACATATACGTTTAGATCAATGACATCTCAGAGCGTTAGAAATTTATTCGCATATAAAATATTTAGATTTAGTTGAACGAACCTTATGTAACACAGCGTTCGCCGGTTTATTACCGGCGAGACTTTCCTTGCTAAGATGTTGATGGGATTCAGCAAGACATTCAACTTCAGCAAATCGCGCATTAAGACTCATAGCAGGATGATTAGGATCTTGTGTGAGATTCAAGTAGGCAGCTCGCCTCAACTGTTCTTCAATTACCAAAGCTTGCTCTAAGAGTTTAAAACGCCTTGCCAAAAACTTGTTCTTGATCTCCAAAAAGTTACCTTTTCCCATGTCCATCTTGAATGGTTCGTTGATAATTGCGAATCTATAATAAGCATAATAATTTAATATAAGTAGAAATAAAAGGAATGTTGAATCATAATTAATTGTCACATCATAACATTAAAACTACAATCAGAACTTTTTTATTTTGTAATTTAGAGTTACAAAGGTAAATGTGCACACTTTTAGGCTTTCATGGATATTTTTAGATATTATCAGAGAGGTCAAAAGGTTTGCAGGTTATCGTCGTGTCATGATCTATTGCTAATTTCGTTTCGTTTCATCAGAACAAGGAATGCACTGATACATTATTATTATACTGATACAGTAAACCCTTTGGCACCTCTGATAAATGTGCATCTAAACACAAGAAGTTCGTAAATAATTATTTATTAAAAAAAGCTTCTATTACCGAATATCGTTTTGAATATCTTGCCAACGCCCATAACCATGTGTGACAATACCCGCCAAAAGCCAGTAATCGTGTCGACGATGCCAAATATCGTATTCGCGACCAGGCGCCGCTGCCTTTTCTTCATTCAGCCAAAGCGTGTGCAATTCTGTAAAACCACCATCAGCTATGTTAAACATAAATTTACGTTTAGGTTTCATCACTTCTTGATCACAGTCCTTTACATCCTTTTCTTTGTTATCCTTCTCCTAGAAAAGAAATCGATATAAATTAAACTGATAAAATGAAAATAGATCCTTTTATAATCCTGTATGAGTACATACTTCTCGTTTTTCAACTTCTTCTTCATCATCTTTAACGATAACAACATCTTCTTCCGGTTCGGATTTCTTAATCTCATTATTCTCCACTTTATCATCATGTTTCGATACAGTTTTCTCCTCTTTTATCTCAGATTTGTCTTTCTCCTTGTCTGTGCTCTCCGTTTCAGTGTCTTTTTCTTCTTTTTTTTCCTCCTTTTCCTTGTCTTTCTCGGAACTTGGTTCCTCCTCCTCTTTAGAAATTTTCGAATCTTCCTTTGAATCTTTTGCATCACCACTCTAAAATAAATAATAATTATTTATTAATATATTTATGAGAAGTGATAACTTAAAGCATTTTCTCGTTAAACAAATAAACGATAATACTTTCATGATAAAAACTATCCAATACTAACCTCTTTATCTTTTGATTCATCCTTACATTCCTTAACTTCAGATGAATCAGAATTCACTTTATTAGTCTCGTTGCTTGTACCAGAAGTCGGAGTTGGTGTGGCAGCGGGGCTAGGGCTAGGAGCATTCGAAGTGGCTGGAGTAGCACTAGTGCTACTAGTACCTGTCGCTGCATCTCCAACTCCTTCTCCGACTTTGACAGGTTCTACTGGTTTACGTATCATCTCCGGCATTGAATAATAGCCATTAATGTGCTCAAATTCCTGTACCTATAATATCATATGCATGGCATTTTTCAAATTATTATGAAATTGGAGACAATGACTATAAATTTTTTCGATGTGACAATTCTGATAACCAGAGAATCATTTTTATCTTTATAAAAAAACCGTCTTTCTTAGAGAAATAAATTTTATTACAGTAGTAATAAAATTTAATTGCATTTTAGAAGTCCAGAAAACTAATTCGGCGCGTAGTTCGAATAATGAATATAATTCAATAACTGTACCTTCTTTCTAATCAAGGACATAACGCCGATTCTCGTTAATACATGCTGTCGACTGAGACCTTCTCGTGGAACACCATCAGCGAACGTGTCTGCATTGTCAGCACCTGGTTCGCAAAGGTGTCTCATAAAAAGAGAAACATAGGCTTTGAAATTCTTCTCAGATTTGCCACGCAGGTCGCGCACCAACCTAAAGTTTTAATAAAAGAATTTGAATAATATATAGTAAACAAAAAAGCAAAATATTTTTGTTTATTTTTGTTGCAAAGACATAATGCTAAATATAACATCAACAAGTAATTCTTATTAAAAAAAATTGTAAAAGACAATAATAATCTTACAAAACGCCATTGACTTGCCATTGAGAGTTGAAAGCATCTTGAGGCGGCATTCCATAACGCATAATTGCATTGAGGAATGCTTTCCGTTGCCTAGCATTAAAACCTAGTACCTACAAAAATATACATAGAAATTAAGTACGCAAAAATATAATAGATACATACAACTCTTATTTTGAACAAAATTATTTTGTTATATTTTTTTTTAAATCGTAAGATTTTTTAAAGTCAACAGTTATTTCGACTGTCTCGTTTGCGATTGTTTCTTTCTTGCTAATTTACTTAATTTACTTAATTTTATTTGAAATTTTCGAAAATATTAGTAAATGTACATATCATATATTTTTCTTAAATAAAAACCAACCTCGATATTTCCATTTACTCTGGCAAGTAGTGGTGGCAGAGGTCTGTCCTTTTCATCGCGTCTCTCCAATCTTCGTCTGCTTCTGCGAGATAACAAGTCTCCTTCACCCTTCTCATCAAAGTCATCATCCTCCTTATCGTCATCACTGGGCGCGCTAAAGTCACTATTATAATCCGACAGATTCTCCTGCCATGGTTGATCATCTCTTGCGCCTTGGTCGCCGGTTACACCACCATCCGTGTAATTAACTTGTTTACGTACTCGTTTGCCTACGATTAATTGGATATATATGAAAATACGTGTACGAATAGGATTTCAAATGTTTAACAGTTATTTTAATATGTATCTGCATTTATATCAATGCATACAAACCTTTTCCAAGTGTTCTAGCGATATCTTCTTGTTGCTGCTCGTAATGGTGTCTAAGCAGCTTGATCCAATATGCTGGATCTGTATTTTCCGCTTCTTGCTTAATTATTTCTGTATCTGCTTCTTCCTCTGTTTCACCTTCCTTTGTTACGTACGAGGCAACTTTGAAGGAACTTAAGTACTCGTTAGCCCAATTCTCCTTCTGCTCGATACCCTCTTTACTTCTGTCCAATAATTCGGCGACAGCCTTGTCGTCGTAATGTATAGCTTCATCTTCTTTACCCTCTTCTTCCTTGAATAATTCCTCCGTACCTGGAAATAAATTTCATTTAAAAAATCATTAAATTTATTGTAATTATATTAAGATAAATGATTGCTGAAAAGAATTGATAGCAATCAATTCAATATAATCGGATTGTTTCATTATTAGTTTATTGATTAATAGCAATATAATTAAAAAAGGTTAGAGAGCTTACCAAAACGTAAAATATCATCAAGCTCTTGTTTACTAAAATTGGCGCCTTTGCCGCCCATGCCTGGTCGCACAACCAAATGAGTGAGCATCATCTTGCGCTTAGCTACTTGTGTTACTCTTTCTTCCACAGAATTACGTGTGACAAATCGGTAGATCATAACTTTGTTGGCCTGGCCTATCCTATGAGCTCTGCTGAACGCTTGGATATCGTTGTGTGGATTCCAATCGGAATCGTAAATAATCACAGTATCTGCCGTTGCTAAGTTAATACCTAAACCACCAGCGCGCGTAGAAAGTAAGAAGACAAACTGTTGTGCACCTGTGAATGAAAATTTAATTTTCATTAAAAAGTAGATAAAAATATTTTTTTCTTTTCTATATTTCATTATAATTGATAGAATCAAAAGTAAAAATCAATCTATAACTTATTTTAAAATGTTAATTTAAAAAAAAATAACTATTTTTACAGAATAAAAAAATAATCAATATATAAATTAATCTGGAAAATACTTGCCAGGAGCGTTAAATCTATCGATGGCTTCTTGACGTTGCGCACCCGTTATATTACCATCTATTCTTTCATATTTGTATCCCTCACCCTCCAAATAATCTTCAAGGATATCTAACATCTTAGTCATTTGAGAGAATATAAGAACTCGATGTCCATCATCTCGCAGTTTCTTCAGCATTTTACTCAAGAGAACCAATTTACCAGCTGCTTTAATTAGAGCCGATGTCTCATAACTTCCGTTTGGTCCAGTCGGTGCTTCTTGTGATGCAGCGGGAAACAAGTATGGGTGATTGCAGCATTTCTTGAGATCCATCATTATATTTAACAATGATACTTGCTGACCACCTCCTTTTGGATTGAGAGCTTCAAAGTTCCTCGTTAAAATGTATTTGTAATATTTTTTCTGCATCGGCGATAATTCGACACGAACAATAAATTCAGATTTGCTAGGCATGTTCTATAAAGAAATATGATTGTTATAATGCCAATATAACACATTAATTAGAAAGTATGATTATATGATTTGGATTGTAAAATTTCGTGTACTGTAGTAATATAATATATGTACAGAATTACCAACCTTCAATACATCAGCTTTCAATCTCCGCAACATATGTGGACCAAGCATTTCATGTAGCTTCTTAACTTGTTCTTCCTTTGAAATATCTGCGAATTCATTTTGGAACGCTGCTAAATCATTGAATTTGTCACGGCATAAGAAATTCAATAAATGGAACAATTCTTCCAAATTATTTTGTAGTGGGGTACCAGTCAGCAAAAGTTTATACGCAATATTGTAGGAAGCTAGTAATCTAAAGAATTTTGATTGATTAGACTTCAATCTGTGAGCTTCATCCACGACTAAAACAGCCCAATCAATGGACCCTAAACACGCTGAATCTATGGAAATTAGTTCATAACTTGTAAGCAAGACGTTAAATTTAATCGAAGACGATCGGATTTTAGAGGCGCGTCCACTACGCACAGCACCTTCTTCAAATGACAATTCATTTTCACGAATCACGATACGGCTATCTTTGTCACCTAAATAAAGACAAAAAATATTTTATCACTAATATAAATCTTCTAATGCACGTCAAAAATTTTCATAAAATAGAAGACGATACCAACCCACATAAGTAACACAATAAAAGTCAGGTGCCCAAGTCTCGAATTCACGTTCCCAATTAATGATAGTAGACAAGGGAACAGAGACTAAAAAGGGCCCTTTACAATGGCCTTCTTTGTACAAGGAATATAAGAATGTTATGGTTTGAATAGTTTTTCCCAAACCCATCTCATCGGCCAAAATCGTATCTATGCCTTGACCCCATGAATATCTCAACCAATTTAGACCCTATAAATTAAGATTGTAGAAATGTAATGCAAATAGAGATTTTCGAAAGAGCGCGCAAAAAAATAGAATTTAAACTTGCTCGAAACTTACCTCTAATTGATAATGATGCAATTGCATTCCAGTCTGATCCAAATACTCTGGCTGTCTTTCGTACTTCTTTTTGAGATCCGTTGTAGGTTTATCTGGCGGTGGTGTGTATCGTTTCGGAGTCCTTTCTTCATCATCAATCAACTCGCGTGTTTTTGATTTCTTGCCTTTACCTAAATTGCATTTTATTTCTTTTATAAAAGCACAAGACACTTTGCGCAAATAGTGAATTAGTATAAGGTGTAGTAACAAGATATCCATTATTTTTGCATGAAATTGAAGGCTTTATTTAGTATAGTTAGAATGATCCGATTTAGGTCAAATATGCACCGTTTTGTTCGATAACTTGTTGCCATTTTGAAGGTAATTCCATTATGCCTCTCTCATAGAAACCCTCGTCCTTATTGGCAAAAAACTGGGACAGTCGATTTTCGCAAGCTTCTCTTGAGGCGAATTTTTCCAGCAAAATCATTCGCCATAGACAGGAACAGGTGGTAATCACTTGGAGCCAGGTCCGGGCTATAAGGTGGATGCATAAGAACCTCCCAACCAAGCTCCCGGAGCTTCTGGCGAGTCACTATCGATGTGTGTGGCCTTGCGTTGTCCTGATGGAACACAGTTCCTCTCCTATTGGCCAACGCTGGTCACTTCTGGGCGATTGCTTCCTTCAGATGGTCCAATTGTTGACAGTACAGGTCCGAATTAAGAGTTTGGCCGTAGGGGAGCATCTCATAATAGATGATTCTCTGCCAATTCCACCAAACAGCAAAACCTTCCTGACTGACAATCCTGGCTTAGCCACCGTTTGCGCCGGCTCACCGCGATTCGACCACGACCGTTTTCGCTTGACGTTGTCATAAGTGACCCACTTTTTATCACCAGTCACGATCCGCTTCAGAAATGGGTTGATTTTGTTGCGATTCAGCAGCGATTCGCAGATGGAAATTCGGTCCATGAGGATTTTTTGCGTTAACTCGTGTGGCACCCATACGTCGAGCTTCTTTTTGTATCCAGCCTTATTCAAGTGGTTCCAAACGATTTTTTGTGCAATGTTTAGCTCCTGGGCAATCGAAACAGTGCTTACATGACGGTCGGACTCGACGATTTCCATTATTTTATCGACATTTTCGACAATTGGCCTTCCAGAGCGTGGTGCATCTTTGACATCAAAATTACCGGAACGGAATCGACGAAACCAAAATTGCGCGTGATTGACTGTTACAGTATCAGGATCATAAACACTATTCACATTTTCAGCCGCCTGGCTTGCGTTTTCGCCCTGTAAAAAAACTGTAAAACTTGACGTATTTTCTCTTTGCTGATGTCCATCTTTGACGCGCGCTCAAACAATACTAAGTCAAGCAATCACAAAACTGTGTGAGAAGTTTTTTTAGTATGAAATCTTATCTTTCTAACGCCATCTAGCGTAACTCGATCGACTTATACAACGCGACTTATACAACGCGAGATATAGATTACTAAAGCCATCTATTGGAAAAATAATGGATTTCTTTTTACTACACCTTATATCTCTCTCACCTTTTTTCCCTTTACGTGACGAACTAACATCACAACAATTGGCGGCTCTGAGATCTAGATAGTATTCTATGGCTTGTTTCAAGCCAGGGATGTCCTCATGTTCATTTTCCCACGTTGCCTGGTCGTAACCGAGTTCTCTCCATTTCACGAGATACGTAGCCCTGCCATCTCTTTGCAATCGATGATTGATCCCCCTGTGAACTCCCAGCCACTCTGGACGCACACCATAACGATAGAAACGTTCTTCCAAATTGTACTCATCCCTGTTAGTGGCACCGTCTTGTTCTTTCAAACGCTTCACACGAGAATCACTTTCATCCAACGGTTCCTCCAACTTCGGTGGTTCATCCATGTCATATTTACGATAATAATTCCTAATCACACAATAATGTATCATATATATATATATATATATATATATTGGGTGGATCCATATATTCGTTCGGTTTTTGAAGGTAAAATGAAACAAGTTTTTTTCAAGAACAAAGAATGAATTTTAATCAATGATATGATTCTCCATTTTTGCACTACTAACAAAAACCGAACGAATATATAGAACGAATATATATATATATATATGCCACAGGGTGGCATGAATATACGGCCCCACTCGTCCCGAGCAGGTAGTGTGGACTAAACTGAGTAGAAAAATCCTTTACATTTTGTAATGCTCGCATTAATTAACGAGATACAAAATGATATATTCATGCCACCCTGTGTATACATATATATTTGCAGCAATAATATTATTCGCGTAATTTTACACACACACACACACACACACACACACACACACACACGCGCGCGCGCGCGCGCGCGTAAAATTATGCGAATAATATTATTGCTGCAAAGATTTGTACCTGTACATAAGAGGATGAAAAACGTCAAGTTGTAATTCTGTTATCCAATCGCAATGCCAATAAGACATATCGGCCCATTTAACAAAGAATTCACGCATTTTTCTTTGCTTAGGTGCAGCCTTGCTCGTGGAGGGTTCCTCCGATGGAGTATCTGAGCTCTCTTTCCATCTCCAAGTTAATATTTTTGCCACTAAAAAAGCAATTTAATTAAGAGGCTACATATTTGTGTGTACTTTTAAATACCGTCTCTGCCATCTACAATCAATATAAAATTACTAAAGAAACATATCATACTTGTAATGACATACCTTTTCCTCTTAATGGTGGGCAAGAGCATCTAGGACATTTCCAATCGCCGTCAGGAATCTCTGATAGAGGAGGATTCAGACAATGCGTGTGATACGCGCTTGTACAACTGTCACAGCATAATAATTCTCCGCCATCCTTGCACACTCTACAGAATTCCATATGTTCATCGTCATCTTCTGCTGCGCCTGATAGTGCAAATATAATTGTAGTTGTCGTTTTCTGAATGATAAGCAGAAAGTTTTAGAAAGGAATAAGGAGATTTAAGGCAGTGGTATGGGAGGACATGGGTACCTGCAATACCTTCTCCTTCGCAATGAGCACAACTCCATTTTCCTTCTGGTGTTTCTTCCATTTCGGGCTCTAAGCACACTAAATGGTATGCTCTGGGACATGTATCGCACAATATAATTTCGCCGCCTTGTTGACATACTTCACAATAATCCTGGTGGTCAGTCTGTAGAAAGCAAAAAGAAATTTGGAAAATAATTATTCCATTTTGATAGGGATCAGGATAGAATAATTCATATAATAATGCAAGATGTATTAACGAAATTAAGATATGATGTATAATTAAGCATGTTGCAATGTTAAGGTGATTATGCGACTTTAAACATTGCAAAAGGAAGAAACGTTTATAATTATTTTAAGGCAGAGTAAGTCAACGTAGCATATGCGTTCTTGAAGTTCTCTAAATATCCACTTGCACATACGTAATATATTTTTACCTTTAAATTTTGCGCATATTAAAAAGGCGATATATTCTCTCTTAATTAAATTTAAAAATTTATCCCATTAGCTATCAATCAATTATCAATAAGATAGCTCTATATCGGATAGATTTGTATGTAAATTCAAATAGAAATTATAAAAAGAATATCAGCTGTGATAATATTAACAAGCATAATGATTAGACATGCGCTGACTAGCAAATTATAAATAAATTTCCAAGCTTTTAGTATGAGAATAACTATTATGTGACAGTCCATGATTGCAAGCACGTTTAAAACAACAATGAACGCATAAGCAGATGCTGCTTAACTCTACCTGGAGACCTTCCTCTCCATCCGGGAACTTGGAAGTTGTCTTTGTCTTCTTCTTTTTCTTAGTCTTGTTGCCGATTTTGGTTTTCGCCTTTCTGCGAACTGGCGGTTCGGCTGGAGGTTCTACCAGCACCCGGAGTTTCTTCCGCATCAGCTAACATTTGCTCGAACTCCATGTCTGAATCCGCCGCGGAACCAGCAGCACTACCTTCTGCTTCTTCGTCCTAAATAATTTAATCAAGATTTAAATAAAAAGTTCTCGAGTCTCTATCGAGAAATATAATCAAATAAGAAACAGAGCACATACCGAACTGCCTCGTTTACGTTTCCCAAGCTTAATCTTAAGCGTTGGTACTTTCGACGCCTTTTTCCCTTTTTTCGCTCTCGAACCTCGTGATTTTCTCTTTCTGTCACTGTCCTCGTCATCTTCCTCCTCCTCTTCGGCTTCTTGCATAGCACCACTTCGATTAGTTCTAGCGTTTCTACTATCATCATCTACATTTGTGGATGACACATCTGCATCTGGTTGCGTATGTGGATTTAATTCAGAGAAATCGCGCCACTTGGCTGCCACCAACATCATAAGTTTTGACATTGGAACCTAATTATGCAAGAACAAAAATTATTTAAGTAAATATAATAATAGCTGATATCGTATTGTATACAAGATTATTGATATGTAAAGATGTACGCACTTTCGGATTTTCTTTTGCCAAGAGCGGTCTGACATGCTGTTGAAACAGTTTGTATGTCGTTAAATTTTGGAAATCGGCATCGGAATATTCAATTTGTACATCTGTTAAACCAAATGTATTGCACACTTCTTCGATCGTGGGCATGCCTGTTGTAGGTTCTTGACTCTGAGTGGTCGATGTATTATGGCTGGAAGATTTTCTAGACGATGATTTTCTGCTTTTTCTATTGACTGCATAGTCGCTATCTTCACCAGCCGCGTCACCCGCTTCACCGCCACCGAAATCACTTTCCTAAAATGTTATGTAAAGTATTAAACATTAGCAAAAAAAAATATGAATTTTTGTCAAAGACGAAATTCTTTATAAAATTACTAAAATACTGAAAAAATCCAAATGTAATTGATATTTATACGTGTATTATGGAACTTACGTAATGCTTTGTAGATAAAATATAGTAAAGTACAGATATGTATTTGCATTGCAAATGAAATGCAGAAAAGTTGACTTATTACTCCTGTCGATCTTTATTAAGTATGAAATGTACTATTCCAACTAAATTATATATATTATGCAGTAATGTTTCCTTACATCTCCAGAATCAGATTTTTTCTTTTTCTTCTTTTTCTTTCCTTTTTTATCCTCACTACGTGCTTTTCGCTTTTTCCCCTTCTTCTTTTTTCGCTCTTCTGGTTCATAATCATCATCTTCTTCCTGTAAAGAATAATTTTCATGTTTTAAACTTCTGGAATAATATTCAGATTATTAAAATATTATTACAAAAATTAAAGATAGGAGCATAACCTTCATGGCTATGAATTATAAGGGCAATTTGGACCAAACTCTGATTAATTTAAACAACATTTTATCAATATGAATAAAACTATTAAATTAATCAATAAAAATATGTAAAAAGATTTAATCTTAAAGTTTTTCATTATCTGGTTAATTTGTGGTTAGGCTTAACCTAATATTTTATTCAATAGGGTTCATTTATGATGACGTCATGGATGAAGCCTTTTGGATGAAACATCAGGTTAAATTTAACTACAACTAGATAATGAAAAACTGTGCCTAAGTGATTCTGTCTGTCGAGTTAACAGTCGAGTTAAATTAATCAGGATTTAATCCAAGTCGCTCGTAAGTATTATTAAGCATCAAACTTATTAACAATGCTATAAAATGTAAAACTTACTAGTCTTTGAGATTCTTCAGCCTCAGATGATCCATCTACTTGCTGGCCAACATTTGATACTTGTCCTCCAGTCTCGTCCATGTCATCCTCTCCTAAAAGACATGTTTAACATTGACATCGTTAAGGATTGAATTAGGCTTTCTACTTTCAGTCAAATGTAAAAAGAATAATAACTATGACTTTCTTACGGCTTTCTTACGGTTTAAGACTTAAAAGTTTAGGTAATGGCTATTTTATATAATATATATATATATATATATATATATATATATATATATATATATACACACAGAATAAAGGTCTTAGTAACTAAATCACTATTCTGAATCATATTTGCAAAACAATATCTTGTAAACATAAAATAGAAGTCAGTGAATTTTTTTTTTTCAGAGCAGCAATATGAAAATAATCATAATGTAATGACTTGACATTTTACACTTTTTTCATAAAAAATATCTGTATTCACTCTAATTCCACTATGGCAAAATTTCCTTTCCATGAATGCAATAATTCTTATCTACATATTACTACACTTTATACCTGTTATACCTTATGAATCACGATCCAAATTCTTTAATCGAGCCGTAAATTTTCCACCTAAGTTCCGAATAATAATTAGAGAAATGGATTAAACAGTATCGAAGTAAAACAACGTGATTAAATCCGAATTTCACTCGTGCCGTAAATTATCAGTGAAGGAACCTTGGCTCACAAAGGTGTACACGGCAACGACCGAATCAATCGCGACGCGGTGTCCTTAATTATGTATACACGGCGAGAGCGCGGGCGAGAAATCTGGTAAAGGTATATCGACGTGAAGGTGAAAGAGAGGCGAGGGCGGCGAGTCGTACGCGAGATTCACGATTCACGATCGACGACCGCGGTGACGATCGGCACCGGCACGAGACTCACTTTCTCGCGAACGCGGAGGACGAATTTCGAACTAATCAACGTTCCCTGAGTGCTTCATCCGTGAGTGTACATCCGCCATTTTCTTTAATAGGGCCATACGTACGCTACATACATTTGACATACGGGCGCGCGTACGCTGCGCACACACGCGCACGGCGCGCGTTCTTGCGCGCGCGCGTGTGCATGTGTGTGTGTATGTAGTGTGCACGTATATACGTATTCACGCCACGCGTATTTACGCGGGCGCGACGTCGGCGCGCTTAATTTCCGCTGGCTTGACGATTTCACCGTAGGACGTGGGATCCGAACGCGAAATGAAATACGTATACTCGGGTGAATCTTTACTGGGCCTTTACGCGACGGTGGAGGTTAGACGCCGGCTGTCGCGCGCTCGCGTGTTGTGTGTGTGTGTGCGCGTGTACTGCGTGCGTGCACGTTGCACACAACGACGCGACGCGTGTACGTGAAACGCGGATCCATAACTCGGTGTTTTTTTCTTTTTTCCTTCTTTCGCGCGGACGCGTCGTAACATGGCGCAAATGCAATTATGTCCCCGTCGATTGGGAACCGTTTTCGCGATGCCCGAGAGACGTCGAACTCGCGAACGTCAATTCGCACGGCCGACGTTAACGAGCATTTTCTATTACGAAATCGCGAAGATCGAACGGAGATAAGCCGCCTAAGTTCGCTTCGTCGGTCATTACCGCTTACCACGAGTGCACGGGCGCCGTGCAACCATGTTAGATTTGCAAATCAACGACCATGGCTGCGTTCGATTTTTGTAACTCGCAATGTTCCGTAACTCTTCTATGAATATTATAATTATGATTACGCAAGCGCGCGCAACGACGACGACGACGACGACGACGAGCGTTCTCGGATGAGATATGTGATAAATCGAAAATCGAGCCCGGCGGATCGAAAGAAAAACAAATAAATGCGACGAATTCGGAAAACAAAAAAAAATCGCTGTATTGTCGAAACATGTATCCTCCTCTCTCTCTCCTTTTTGCCAAACGGAATTCCGATTCTTCTATAACGAAAGGAATGCGCTGACAAGTAAAGTAGTAAACACGAGAGCGAGTTGATCGAGCTACTGAACGCCGGACAGAGAAAGAGAGAAAGAGACGGAACGTACACCATGTGCACGCTCTCCTCGGTGTCACTTGCCATCCTCTTTTTCTTTGGCGGAAAGGTGTCCTTCCAGCGGCGTTGGAAGCATTTTGACAGTCGTTTTGACAATCAGGATGAAAAATGAAGAATCCAGGGAAACCCGGGGAAACCGGCATGGCATCGGAGTGATTGATACGGCAGCCATTGATGAGACGAAAAAGCGCGCGTCTCGCGAGCGCTGTACAATATATAAGTACACCAAACAGCTCTCGTGCGATCATCCCGGTGCCATTCTCGCGCGCGTAATCTCTTTCTCTTTTTCTCTTTCTCTCTTTCACACTTTCACTCGCATCACACAATTCTCTCGTACTCTCACCCGCGTAGTTTTCGTCCATCTCCTCGTCCGACGCCATACCCCAGCGAGTCCGCTTCTCGGCACCGAGGACGACGATAACGATGACGACAACGAGACACGACAATCACGATGACAACGACGAGAAGTACGAGAAGTACGACGCTTCGCAATTTCGGCGACGCCGCTTGTCCTTCTCGTATTCTCTACCTTCACACGTCCGTTCACTGCTGTTCACCACCGTGTTTTTCTCACGGGCGCGTAGAAACGCCACAGAAATGCAACATCAATGCCGTCACGGACAACGCTCCGGACTCCGGCAATGCGGCGTGTGGCGGCGTGCCGTCAGTGCCGTCACTCGGGACGCTCCGTATATTAGATATATATCTTACCGATCTACGACGAACAACGACGAATGCTGCTCTTTCGCCACCGTCTTACCGTCGCCCGCCGGCGTGATTCGTTTCCCCTCGTTCTCTATTCCATTTTATTCCCACCTCCTTTCGATGTCGTTCCCTTCGCAACTTCTACGCCTCTCTTTCTCTCTCTTTCCTTTTTTCTCCTTGTCACTCTTCACGTCCGAAAGTGAAGTGATGCCATCTCGCAGACGCTTACAGCGCATTACGACACGTGGAGGGGATAAGTGGGGATAACCTGCCAAACACTCCATACTATGCGTACCATTCAACAGCCGTACTCAAGCGGCGCGATTTCCCAACAATCATCCCCACCTGTCCCCCTCCATTCGACGTAGCGTGTCGTAAGCGTCTGCGAAGTGGCAAAATGGCAATGCCATTATGGCATCACGGTGGAGCGCGGCCGAAACCGTCTGTCGGATCTGCACGCGAGCAGCGGGCGTCTCTCCTCACAAAGCACAGTTTCTTCTCTGTCCTTCCTTCCCCTCTCTCCTTCCTCTCTTTAATCTTTTCTATCTTTCTACCTGCCTATTATATTGCCACGTCAGACCGTTTTTGCGTTCTCTGTATCTTATGATCGTATCGAGTAATTTATCAAACGGTTTTTGCCATTCTCTAAAAAAGTTGCCGTTCTTTGAGAAACCGCGCGAAATTGCGTTAAATCAGTTTAATTAACGCCTTCAGGATACATCCGTTTTGACGTTTTCTCTTCTTTCTCTGTTCTTTAAGATCGAATCAATTTAATTGTAAATCGAAACAAAATTTCTGCTTCGTTAGATTAATGACGTCAGAAGCAAGAAAACATATAATGAATATTCTTGCAGAATATTAGATTTGTTACTTGCAATTTTTGTACTTGGTGTCTTCGCTAATTTTTCTCATTTCAACTATATAAATTTTTATTTTATTTTATTTTTCAAAAATCGTAGAGACCTGTAGATCTATTTATTGCGAATATTCGCAATTACATTGCAATTTTAATAATAATTACTAATTTCCTTTTGTGTTAGCTGCATTGTTTAGGGACAGCTGTCTCTCAATAAAGAAAGTAGCTTTGTAACTTTGTAAAATTCTTCAATACAATTGGTTTATATATTTAGATCCAAAAGCAAGAACCAATGACATTAAAGAATTTTACAAAGTTGTAAAGCCGCCTGCTCTGCCCTCTGCTGAACGCAGTCAACGTTATATTGTACAATAGATCTGTTTGCGTTATTTGCACTTTTGGTACTCGACATCTTCGCTCTCTCTCTTTTCAAGGAAAAATATGTATCTGTCTCATTTTAAGTGCAAAAATTATTTGGGGATTTCATGCAACGTGATAGACTTATTGGCAGCACTGTTTTTTCTAGGGAAAACAAGATGAACAACCTTAGTACTAGTTTAGCGTTTTCTGATGTAGAGGGCGTAACCGAGTAATTCGTCAGCATACGGCGTATTCACGAGGACCTTTTGCCGGATATATAGACAAATTTTCGTAAAATGGTAAATAAATTGTATTACTAACTAAACCATCGTCACTCGATAATTTGATTTCGCAAACGAAATGCCACGCCTGCATTATTCGTCAATTGTGCATAAATTCACGATCTCGTTTGCAAAAACCGGTGGCTTTTATCGTTAACGCTAAGGTTATCTTTCCTTTGGAAGTTTCTGTTTGTTAGACTCATTCGTACGATTGCGAAATATTGCACGATCATTAAAGTGATTTGCGTTAACTCGCGGAATTATCTTTGTTCACGAAAATGCATCAATTACATTTATAACAATTTCACGCATCGCATTGCCGGTAAAACCTCTATGTCGAATGATGCACGTTTTCTCAATAAGATTTATTATTCAGCGTGATTGTCGAATCACATTTGATTGCTAACAAAATAAAAAATTTCATGCGTACTCAATTGCCAATAAAATTGTTTGAATAACAATCGTCATTCAAAGCAAGAATTGTAATTGATTTAATAGTTGCAGAACGTTGCATCATGTAGAGTGAGTTTAAAAGGAGCTTCGAGATTAGTACGATCAACGAGAAGCTTGAGAGATGGCTCGAGAAAACGTGTACTATCGCCTATGCTTCCATCGACATCAGTGGAATTGCTCAATGCACAAATGCAGTCGGTAAGTTCCTGCTATGCAAATAAGTTACATCAATGATAAGCAATGATGATTTTGCAGCTTCGACTATATTCGAATTCGGCACGACGGCCAAGTTTTCTGTCTCAGTTGATCGAGAATATCAAGCAGGAGATGCAGAAAAATAAAGAGATGAAGGAATCATTAAAAAAGTTTAGAGAAGAGGCTCAGAAACTGGAACAATCAGAAGCATTACGAACAGCACGACAAAAATTCCAAGCTGTTGAATCTGAAGCCAGCAAAGGTTCAGAAGTAATCAAAGAAAAACTGGATACAATTAAAGAAAAGGTATATATCTACAATTAACTCATGTATAATAATAATGTTATGTATAACAGTGAATTTATGTTTAAAAGATGCAAGAAGTTATCGAGGAGGCAAGTAAGACTGAATTAGGCAAACGTGCTGGCCAGTTGGGCGAAGAAATAACGAAATCAGCCAAAGGAGCGGCGGAAACGATTTCTGAAAAGCGCCAAGCACTTGGTAAGACAGGTGCATTTCAAACTATATCACACACCGCAGAGGCCGTACGGAATGAACTTGACCAACATGGAATTCTAGGTAGATAGATTTGGCTGAATAGACAGAGAGTAGAGTGCAGGTTAAATTTCATTATTGCTTAATGCAGGCAAAGTTTACGTTCCGCCTAAAAAACTAAGAAAGAGGAACGAAGTACCAATAGAACCTAGAGAAATTATGCCTGACCAAAAAACGACAGGTGTGGAAGTGCACAAGGACTACATGTTTGCCAATGCTTGGGAAAATTTTAAGGTACCTATTGGACAATGTCTTGTAATAAATTTTATGCAATGTACAAATGGGCATTAACAAATGCCTCTATTTAACAATATCGAATGTTCTTTTAAAGGATAAAAATCCATACGTGAATAAGGTAATGGATTGGAAGACAAAATTCGACGAGTCAGATAATGCTGTACTACGCGCTTCCAGATTGCTTACGGACAAGGTTTCGGACATTATAGGTGGGCTATTTCAAAAGACTGAGCTATCGGAAACACTTACAGAGATCTGCAAGCTGGATCCCACTTTTTGTAAAATACAGTTCTTGAAGGACTGCGAAACCGACTTCATCCCGAATATTCTCGAGGCGATGATTAGAGGTGATCTTGAGATTCTGAAAGACTGGTGTCACGAAGGACCATACAACATAATCTCGCAACCGCATAGAGAAGTTAAGAAATTAGGCCATTATTCGGATAGTAAAATTCTAGGTACATATTTATACATAATATTCATTAATTATACGATACTTTGAAATTGTGAAAAATAAAAGAAGGAATATCAATTACAGATATCGACAATGTAGATCTAGTGATGGGTAAGATGATGGAACAGGGACCGGTTTTAATAATTAGCTTTCAATCTCAACAAATCATGTGCGTGAAAAACTCTAAGAACGAAGTGATTGAGGGAGATCCCCAGAAAGTTATGCGTGTCAATTACGTTTGGGTACTGTGTCGCGATCGAACGGAACTTAATCCAAAGGCCGCGTGGCGTTTGCTGGATCTCAGTGCCACCAGTTCGGAGCAATTGGTATAGCGTGAACGAACGCAACATAAACTAAACTATTCAAAGTTTACGCGGCTACGTGGAATCGTGTAGTGATGTCATTCGTGTACATTACCGTTATTATTCATATTAAAAATACGATCGAACGTGTCAAGAATTCTTTAACGATCGTATTAAACGATTACTGATCTAGTACATAACGTATCCTGTAAATTGGAATGTTTATGTATACAAAATTTAGTAACGCAATATCTGTAAATTTTAATTGTATTTGATCTAAGTATATACACGTGCTAAGTTATTTACAATATAATATATTTGTAAATGCATCGAAATCACGTGGTGCGATACACTTTGCCATCACATACAGCTTGTAATTATTTAAAAATAGGTCATAATTAAGATAATATCCATTTATCGTGCACATAACAGAAGTAACATAATTAGTTAATTGCGATATCGATTAATGTTATGTACTTTGTTTTATAAAATTTTCGTACTATTCTATATTCAATTTTGAGAAAAAACATTGGTTAGTATTTAGAAGAATTTATATTACAAATTGACAAATATTAAAATCAATTTTTATACAATATTTACATTGTCAATTATACAACAAGAATAAGCCAATTTTTATATAGTAAACAGAAAAAGAATAGGTTGTTTTATTGACGAAATGATAAAAATCTTATTTTTTTTTTAATATTAAAATAACGTCAAGAATAATTACAGATATTGCAGTTGAAAAGCTTTCCAAAAACTAAAAATGTTTTTATCATATTTGAAATATATTATTGTAATTGTGTACAGCACGAGATGGATATGAGAATCTGTTAGTTTGACTATATTAATAAATGCATCTGTAATAAAACTATATATATGAGTGTACATATGTACAAGCTGATATTAACGAATGATTATAGCATACATTTAAATTATAAAGAGAGCTGTTGATTATTTTTTAAAGAATATTATAAAGTTCGATTTGGATTGAAACGGAATAAAATGATATCCTGCGAACAAATGATTATAGTATTATTTTTTTCTATTTAAAATCATGCATGTAGATAAGAGGAATACCTTATAAGAATGATATATATATATAAACTACATTTTTTATTCATATTCTTCATAACATTATACTGTGTTGTAATCTTTATATAAATATATAAGCGAGTCACAATATTATATAATTTTTTTTCAACCGAAATATTCTAATCAACGTATCATATTCATGTTTGCTTCGATTTGAGTTTACTCGCAAATGCAGGACTCTGCGGATTGGTCAGCTTTTTCGTCGCTTTAAGAATAACTGGCGATTTGTACATTGGCATCGGTCTCGCTTTCACTTCCGTTAACTTGCGCAGTTCTACTTTCATTAATTTCTCAGATTCGAGTCTCTTCTTTTCTGCTTCCTGACGCTTTGTCTCCTCTTCCATTTCCTTACGCCTCATCTTCTCGTTAAACTCATATCGTTCCTTCGCCCGTTTATCAGTGTTTAATTTCAGTGGATAAGCTTTCAATGGTGCTTTTTGTTTATCAACAGTGCTATTCGCTTTCTCTACATTCTTCCTCTCTGCCTTTAAAGAATCAATATTCGGCGCTTTGTTTTCTTGATCTTCTGCTTGCTCGCTTACAATCTTTACATTCTTGCTCTTCGCTGAAAGATTCTCTTTGGATCTACCACGAACCATTACGGGTTTGAAGACTGGTACCGGATTCGCGCGGAATACACGTGCTTGCTTATCCTTTTCGAGCAGTTGTTTCACCAAGTCCTCCTTTCTTTCAGACATTTTCTTGTCCCGATTATCAAAGCTGAATGGACACGGTAAGATGGATTTCTTTGTTCTATTCTGCTGCTGCTGTTTGGCCGGTGGTGTTGGTGGCTTCGAGAAATTTGGCACTGGCCTGGCATGGAATTCGGTCTTTGTTTTACTGGCTTCTTGCAGATCTTTCAGCCGTTGCTCCTTTTTTATTTGTAGATCCTTATTGCGCGCCTCGAAGCTAAACGGTATGATGCGTGTCACATTTTTTGTTGCATCAATGTCTTTTGGTACACCAAAGAATGATATTTCCTCATGTTCGACAATGAGACCTGAAGGATCGGTTACCAGCAATTTTGTGACATTCTTCGGACCATGAACTTTTCCATTGGATTCAGTAGAATTATGCACAATTACCGTCGGCTTCTTCATCACTCGTGAGCCTCGCAGTACATTAGGTGGTATTGGATTGGCTTTTATCTGATGTTTCTTCATTTCTTCCATTTCCAGTTTCTCACGCTCTTCTCGGCTCAGCACAGTAACAGGACGCGACCTGTTCTTTGATACAAGCGCTGGTGAAATCGGTATCGTTGGTTTTAAACGGTTCTGCAACGTCTTTGACATTGGCATACCAGTCGTGTTATTCACCTTACTTCTGGTGTGAAAACGCTTGGGCGTCTCGTTTTGGAAGCGCGATACTGCCTCCGCTAAACTGACATATTTCTTGTTGACTGATGTTCTGCGTTTTTGTAAGCTTCGTCTATGGTTATACCAGGTAAGAACTGAATGCTTATTCGAAGAATGTGTTCGATTGCCTGACTCGATCGTAGCGTCCACATCGTCTTGACTGTTCTCTTCCTTGGTTTTCTTATTATCAGATGATCCTTTTGATTCATTTTGCCGCTCTTTATCGTCTTCCTCGTTATGTTCTTTATTGTATGCTTCATTACATTTTTCAATGTCTTTTTCATGTTTTTCATTATATTCCTTGTTATCTTTTTCTTCGCCTTGTTTTTCTTGCTTATCTTTAAAGTCTTCTACTACATTATTCTCATTGTGATTTTCAGGCTTAAATAAGGCATGACTAACCGATGTTTCTTTTGCATTTTCAGACATGTTAGTGCCTGAAATACAGATATTCTTGTTAACTTTCGTGGACTTTTGCACAGAATCTTGTTCAGATTGAATGTATTTATTCGGTACACTACGACAGTTGACCATTTTAGATGGTTTAATGATTTTAGACATATTCGGTGTCTTAAAAACAGTCGACTCTTGGGTAGTTTTATTCAGTGCTTCTCGAGTTTTTTTAAGTGGCATTTTACAAAGGTCCAGTTGCCTCATCGCATCGCTGAGTACTTGATCATAAGTAGTAGTAGTCTCTCCTAGTTCCACATTATTACCATTTTTCGGGGAAGCTATTTTGATAGGAGTACTCTTTATAATTTCTAAATCTGCTTGTGCCTCTGTACTAGTACATATGACATTCGTGTTAGACGTGAGCTGAATGTTCTCTATATTCTCAGAAGTAGAATCACAGAAATCCTCTATGCGTTCATGTATTGCATGTGATTTTTCAAAAAAGTCCTGCATTCGCATCGGACTATGAGTCTCAGTAAAATCTACCCATTGTGGTGCTTGCAGATCAAGGTCCTCCATTGTGTCAATAAGTAAAATATATAGCATACACGCAAAATATACTGGTATCAAGTCATAAAGAAAAAAATAATTACTATATGTCAAAATATAAATGCCATCCAACAGTAGTTAATGATAATCTGCAACATAAAAATTTGAAATCTTAAATCATTCTAAAGATATATCTAGTATTATATATTATAGTATAACAAACAATAAGTAATAATTAAATGACAAAAAATATATGTATTTTAAAGTATAACTAACGTACCTTTTTCCTCTTATTTTATTTATGTACTTTTATTTCTAAATTATAACCATATTTGCATTTTAATCATTCTTAAGCTACCAAAATTGATGTAACAATATGACAAGTAAATGCAAATAGAATGTTATTGTTGGAGAACTATAATTATATATATATATATCAAAATATAAAACTTGACATTTTGAGACACTTTCCAATTCACTTTTCAATCTTAGTGTTTGCATACATAAAGTTTTAAATTGTATTAGTCTAAGGAGCACAATAATAATCTTATAAAGCTAATGATATTTAATGACATTTCTTCATCAAAAAGAGATAGTTGATTAAATATCATTTCTAACTCATCAATGTTGAATCTGTTATAACAAATTTCCTTATACAAAAGACATAAAAATAAAAAATCTCGTGTAATGTGACACATTTTATATGTCTTTTATAAACAATTAAATAAAAATAATTTTATTTTAGTAGCAAGAGAAATATTTATGCAACTGAATAGTTTTTTTATATTATTTTCATTCGAATGAATTAATAATTAGATCTCGCAGATCCAATATACTGTTGTTGCAGGATCAAAATAAAGGCCAATACTACATACTCACATGTAACTATTTACGTCAATTATTTGCGTCTCTTGTCACACAAACTGCTCGTCGAGAACTCGTATGCCACAAATTTCTTCTCTCTGCAATTTCTACTCTTACTTTTAGCTCGTATTCAATTAAACCCCTGAATGCGGGACAGAGCGAAACGCCAGTGAACATTCCACGAGAACAGCCAACGACAAAATCAAACGTACGTTACACTCATTCAAGTTTGAATCCTTCCACGCCTCATCCGGATTGGCTACGTTGTTGCTAGCCGGGTCCGAAGTTCGCGCATGCGCATCGAACGACACGTCTACAATTAAAAAAAAAATATCTTCGAGATTAGCTTTTTTCTGACAGTTTCCAAAAATTACGTAAAAGTTTACGTAAATTTTTCACAAATTTTAGTAATGGATTATGTTATTTTGTTCTCATCTGTCTCTTCCATTTCTTTGCCAACGCTTCGCTATTCTTTGCTCCTGTAATATCGCACATGCGAAATTATCGTTATCGCAAGACGCATGCACGAAAGAACCCGCCAGATCATAATTCGTTCCGATTGGCTGACAAATGGCATACGTTTTCATAAAAGGGAAACATAAAGCTCAAAAATTCCTACGTCGTCTAGAAATTTCCATTGCGGGAATTTCAAATTCTACTTTCTACAGAACTTTAAAAAATTAGTAGTATATTATTGTATACATGAAAATTAATAATTTCAAACAAAATTTTTAATTATATAATTTACAATTTTATCATAAATTTTTTTCAGTGAAAATTCGAAATCATTGATAAAAATTGCAGCTATTTTATACGAAAATATGATTTATTTGATAAATAAGATTTTTTTATCAATAATTTAAAAATATTATATAGTGCCTAACTATACGGAAATATTATCATTTTGCTATTATTTTGGTCAGTGCAAAAAAAGTTTTGTCTCTTTAGTTTTTTCTTTCTCTCTCAGCCAATTGCATCAATAGTGTCGAGATTCGCTATGATAAAAACTTCTTAATCAAAATGTTTCGTATTATATTTAATAAGTTTGCTACATAAATACAATCTTAATCAGAAGATCTCTAAATAGAAAGAAAAAAAAAATGAAATAAAATAAATATTCAGATTATCAAATATTAATTATATCGACTGATGACACAATTGGCTATATTTTCTTATATTAACACAACTATTATATTTTATGAAAATTGATCAAATTCCCATGACTCTTCTGTCTGCTGCTCCAATTCTTTTACAGCTTT